TCTTAACGAATAGTACCGGGGCTCCCCATGGAGAGTGACTGGGGCGGATGTAACCCTTATCAAGTAACTCTTGAACTTGATTCTTCAATTCCTTGAGTTCCACAGGAGCCATGCGGTACGGAGCCTTTGAGATTGGTTCAGTTCCCGGAATAAGATGAATTTCGAATTCGATTTCGCGATCGGGCGGTAGCCCGGGTAGGTCATCGGGGAAGACGTCGGGAAATTCTTGGACAACGGGAAGTTCGGACATCACCGGTTGAGGGTTTGAGCTAGTTGCCAGAAGGTCGACTAGGTAGCCGATATGTCCTTTGTTGATGAGTTTGGTGGCTTTGATTGCGGATATTATGGGAATTAGAGTCTCGGCGTCGCTTTGAAATTCTAAGAGGGTGTGATTTGGAAGAGAAAAGCTTACGGTCTTTAGGGCGCAGTTGATTTGGGCCTTGAATTTGGTCAACCAATCCATTCCCATTATGAGGTCGAAGTTTTCGATTGCTAGTACGATGAGATCGAACCTCATGGGTTGAGATTTAATTTGAATGGGGCAATCCTCCACTACTCTGTTAGTGATCATTTCTTCGCCCGAGGGCATAGAGATGCGATATTCGTGGCTTACTCGAGTTGGTACTAATCCAAGACGTACGCACACATTGGTGGAAATAAAGGAGTGTGTAGAACCAGAATCAATCAAAGCAACGGGTTCTCCAAGAATAAGGACGGTACCTGCGATCATCGTCGGATCTTGACGTACTTGCTCTCGGGTCATGGCAAACGCGCGGCCGGGGACTCGAGTTTGAGCGCTGGGGCAGTCTCTCGCCTTATGGCCTGGCTTTGTGCATCGAAAACACAATTCGGTGTCCTTTACGCAGATTCCAAAGTGAGCCTTTCCGCAGTTCGAGCAAGTTGGCTTGGTCGTCGGTGCTACTGGTTTAGGGCTTGGACTCTGGACCTTCTTTCCTTTGAATTTATGATTCCCAAAGTTGGCCTTCTTCCATGGTCGTGGTGTGGGTGGTTGGGATCGCTTCCCTTGCTGAATTTCATTTTCGTCTTGAGCAGCCGTCAGTGCCTTGTCCACCATTTGGCGAAAAGTAGTGGCGTCGGACATGCGGATGTCCCTTCGAATTTCAGGTTGTAAACCCCTTGTGAAGTGATTTTTCTTTTCCTCAACGTCCTTGGCGATGAATGGGGCGTACAGGCATCCTCGCTCGAATAACCGAACGTATTCGGTCATGGTAAGATCTCCTTGGCGGAGCTCCAAGAATTCCTTGAGTTTGTTGGCCCGGACGTCCTTGGAAAAGTATTTCTCGAAGAACTGAACCTTGAATGCTTCCCATGACAAGTTCTCGAGTTCAACACCTTCCTTAGCTCCTTCCCACCAGTTCCGGGCTTCGTTGCGAAGTAGAAAGAGGGCACAGTGCACTCGTTCACGGTCATCCATTTGCATGTAATCAAAGATCACCTCCAAGGATTTGATCCACTCTTCGGCTACGACCGGGTCGGGATCACCGTGGAACTCAGAGGGCTTCATACGGAGGAAACGTTCGTATAGGCTTTGGGGGTTTGGCTGAGGCGTAGGTGGGGTGCGTTGGCTTTGAAGGAGTTGTTGGATCTGGTCATGATGATTTTGCGCTTGTTCGCGGATGAGGTTTGAGAGACCGAGAATAATGTTAGCGGTGTCCGGGAGATTATTGGCGGTGGCGGTGTTCCGAGATGGTCTTCCTGTCATGTCTTAGTGTGTGTGTTGCAAAAATAATTTTTTAGAACAACAGAAGATAATATAAAACACAAGTAAGCACATATTTACCGGACCGACTGAGTCTTTCTCGCTTCGAGGTTTCCGAATTCCGGTTCGATGCTCGTATAAAGTTTCTACAAATTTTGCTCTGATACCATGTCTGTGACACCCCCTAGTAATCGTGTAGCAAACCGAGAGGGTTTGCCATGCACGGAAGCTTTAAAGGTATTATTTAAGTAATTGGGTATGTGGGTAGACTCCAAGGGGTTTAGTGAACCGATTACACCTTATTATTATTTTCTTTGAGACTTAGAATTTAAAGACGGAGTCGGCTTCGGAAAATGTTTCGGCGGGGTGATTTAGTGGGATGGTGGAGTATACGTCTAATTACCCAATGATTACGTAATATAGACTTTTAAGTGGTGTCACCTTGATAAAACATAGAAAAAGGTTAAAGTCCATAATTAAAACTACATATTAATAAATGGACCATAGTTTAACAAAAGGGCCCACATTCGGAGAACTTAGTCTCCTTTACCACGGATAATAATACACATGAGCTACTATAGAAATAGTAATTGTCCTAAGGACAATGTACACAAAAGATAGCACTACAAGCATTATAAGTAGATCCTCCATACGAACCAAAAACCCGGAATCGGCCTCTCGAAACGTCGACTAGTCCAATCCGGTGGAGAGAGTAGTACTAGTACCTGCAAACGGAGAATATCTATATGAGCTAACAAAGCTCAGTAAGGTTATCGAAAGATACCAAGAATTTAAAATATAGTCATACTACATATACTATATAATAATAGCACAAGCACCACAACAATTAACATAATTTACATTTAGAGTACATATAATTCATTAACTATAGAAACATAAGAATTCTTCTTTTTATCGGATCCGATGAGAAATCAACTTCTTTACTTAGAACACGAGAAAATTATTCTGAGCCCGTTTTGGTGGAATCAAACCACCCAACTGTAGTATCTATGGTTGGAATACCGGCCCCCCGTATCCTTTCTCATCTTGTCTAAGTATTTCATTAATTCCCCAATTTATTTTATTTAATTACACAAATGGCACGGCTGAAGTACTTAGAATTTCGATTGAGTCCATAAAGGTATAAATATTCCACAATAACCCATAAGAAATATAAAAGCCACAAAACATCACAAATATCAATCAAGTGACCATTAAACACATGTTTCACATAAACTTGGCTTTTATCGAAAAGCACATTAAAGCATACTTACCCAAAATAATACTCAAAACATTCAAAACCAATCTTATTGCTAATTGATTCTAGGATTTAAGGGAAAACATGCTAGTATAGGAGGTTTCGGTTATTCAGCACAACACCCCTGAACTTCTGAAAATTACAGTTCTGCCCTCCAAAGTTTAAAACTCACACATGCAATATGATCTAAAGTTCAAAAATTCATACTTTCACAAAATCAACCCTTAACTTAACTGAAATTCAAATTAATGCAGAAAACTCAGTTAGAATGATTTAATGCCGAATTTCCAGAAATTACATAATTCACCCTAGCTTCTCTAGATCTAGACATGCAAGACCTCTAAAATGCACAAATTCCATTTTCTAGTAAAACCCCTTTAAAACTGAATATTACCCTTTGCTAAATGCTGGAAAACAGACCTGGAATTCTAATTGGAACCAATTTCTCGAAAATTACAGATTTACCCCAAAACTCTTTCAAATTACACATGCAACAACACTATAATTTCAAAATCCACTTTTTCATGAAAAATCCCCAAAAATCCGAAATCTTTATTCAAAATATGCAGAAAACGAAGTTAAGATTTTAATTTATGCAACAACTTTGAAAATTCCATTTTCCACCACAAAACTTTTAGATCCATACATGCAAGACCACTAGGAGTTCAAAAATTACTTTTTTCTTAAAAATTTTCCTAAATCTGGAATTTCAGTTCAATAAATGCTAAAAACCATTTTTGAAAACTTATATGAGACTGACTCCTCACAAATTGCAGATCTGGCCCGAAAATATGCCGATTTACACATGCAACCCCAAAACTTTTCCCAATTTAAATTTCTTCACAACTTTCGAAATAACTGAAAAATTCTTTGAAGGTAATCAACTCAAATCTACCATTTAAGACCTCTGATCATACATGCAATAACATAAATCATATGAACTAACAAAAAGGAACAAATAAATGCAAGAATCAACACAAACAAGAATTAGGGGTGTCTTTTAATTAATTTCGAAATTTTATCCTTAATACTTGATACCTCCATTTGCAGCAAGGATTTCGATTCCTTACCTTAAAAACAGAAAGGAAAAAGGCTAGATGAAAAGGGGAAGGTCCTTGGGAGCCTTCAAAGAAAAACCGAAAGTTAGAGGGGGAAAAGAACGAAGAAGGAAGAAGAGGTGGAAGATCTTTGAATGGCAGCTTCTTACCTTCTTCAAGCTTGAAGATTCAGCCAAGCTACCTTAATGTGGAAGGACACGGTGTAGATTTCAAGGTGAGAAGTGTTCTCATTGGTGAAGGGGCACCATGTATTTATAGTGTTCTTGGAGAATTCAAGGGCAAGGGTGAGATAGGGAATTCTCATTGTTGGTTTGAGAAGTATCTTGCTGATTTGGGGGTGGTTCGAGCTTTGGTGGAGCTGCTATCAATGGTGGTTTCGGTGGTTTGAAGGAGGAAAGAACAATGAAGAAGGAGAGGGGTTTAGGTGCAGCCGAAATGAGGGGGAGAGAAGGACTCTTGACCTTCTAATTAAGCATGCTAGAGATGGAGTGTAGGATTGGGTTAATAGGGGTTAGGCTAGGCTTAGGATAATCATTTATTTAATTTCTAATTATTTAATAATCCACCCCTAATTACACACACACATACACGGCACACACATACATATATTCATATATATATTATATATTATGATAATTCCTAATATGCATGCATAATTACCGAAACACATAGGCACATAAGGTCACGTAATAAATTTGATATCTAATAATTCGGATATCAATAATTCACGTATGGCCCTATTATTGGAAAAATCTAGCATTCACGTGACTAGAGGTTTTATTATCGTGTTTTGAACACGTGGGGTGTTACAACAACGTCCGTATAAAGGGGTGCTGCTGATTTTCGCCGGTATAATTCCACATTTGTTGGAAGTATTTCCTTGCACATTCTCCAAAGAAATGAGATGATTTTAGGCGGGAGCCGAAGGTGCCAAATAAGATTCCAGTTTCGACCCCCTTCGCCACTACCAGCGCCCTCCTTGCCATGTCGTCGATTTTTCATGCTCAATCCGATGTGCCAGGATCATATGGTAGCAAGACTTCACAGAGAACCGACCATTTTTGGAACAATGCCAAACCCACTTATCATCCGCAAGGCCATTACACAAAGGAACAGCTGAGATGCGCTCAATGTCTACCGGCCAGATAAACTCATTTAAAAGATCCATATTCCAAGAATTAGAGCTGTCGTCGATGATATCTGAAACGCGGTCTGGAAAGACTACCCCCATTGGACGTTTGGTGAATAAGCACAGCGAGCCTCCTTCTTTGAGCCATGGATCGGCCCACAATGATGTATCTCGGCTGTTACCAATTAGTCGTTGGAGCCCCTGCCGAAGATATGGGATGGTTTTCCATATGTTGCGCCAAGTCGAGGACGGACAATACCCAAGCGTTGCATTAAATAAGCTCCCTTGAGGGTAATATTTGGCAGAGATAACCCGAGACAGTAGCATGTTTGGACTAGTAAAGATCCGCCAAACCTGCTTAGTAATCATAGCCAAATTAAAAGATTTGAGATCCCGAAAGCCCATTCCCCCTTTACCCTTCGATTTACACATATCGTTCCATGCCACCCACGCTAGACCTCTATTTCCCCCATGACCCCACCAATATCGTTTGATTGCAGCCTCCACGTCATTTATAATGCCTTCTGGAAGTAGAAAACATCCCATCACATACGATGGGATAGCTTGGAGAACCGCTTTGATCATGACTTCTTTTCCCGCTCGTGATAATTGTTTTTCGCCCCACCCTTTAATCTTGGACCACAACCTATCTCGGAGATATGCAAAAATTTCCTTCTTCGTCCTTCCAATAGCCGCCGGCAATCCTAAATATTTTTCCTGGTTCTCCACCATTCAAAATTCAAAGATTTGATGGATTGCAACTCTTCGCTCCTAGGTAGTATTTAGGCTAAAAAACACCATCAATTTTTCTTGGTTGATCTCCTGTCCTGATGCACGGGCATATTTCCCCAAGATATTCTTTAGCACCCGTGCGTACTCCTCTGTAGCTCTTTCAAACACCAACGTGTCATCTGCAAAACATAGGCACGAAACCACCGGAGCTGTTGGGGCCACCTGAACTCCAAGAAATTCACCACTATTAGATACTCTAGCGACCATGGCTATGAGGACCTCCGCACAACATATGAACAGATATGGAGATAGCGGATCCCCTTGCCGCAGCCCCCTGCGAAGGTGAAACCTGGCCAAACTGCATACCGTTGAATAAAAAGGAGAAAGAGACAGTGGAAACACACAACATTATAAGATCAATAAAATCAGAGGGAAAACCAAAACGACAAAGAATCTTTCTCAAAAATAGCCATTCAATCCGATCGTATGCCTTGCTAATATCTAGTTTAATAGCCATGTAATTGGTTTTGGTTCTAGTGTTCATTTTGATGAAATGGTTAATCTCAAAAGCTACAAGAACATTATCGGAGATAAGACGTTTAGGAACAAATGCAGACTGAGTAGGGGAAATCAGGTCATTAAGCACCAATTTGATCCGATTGGCTAGGACTTTAGACCCAAATTTATAAATGACATTACAAAGGCTGACCAGTCTATAGTTGGAAATTTTTTCGAGTTTTTTAATTTTGGGGATTAAAACTATATAGGTGGAATTAAGGTCCGGCGGAAGAATTTTATGGTTGAGAAATTTAAGCACACAAGAAAGAACATCGTTCCTTAACACATGCCAAAATTTAGTAAAGAAGACGACTGGTAACCCATCCGGGCCCGGAGATTTGAGAGGATCCATTTGAGAGATAGCTCTCGTTACCTCGTCGGAAGTGTAAGGTTGGGACAGAAGTTGACTAGCTCCACCGGCAAGACGAGCCTCAATGCACTCCAACACCTCATCTATCTCCTCTTCCCTCGGGTTCGTAGACTTGAAAATATGTTCGAAGTATTCTGATATAATACGCTCAATACCCTCGTTATCCCCAGTCCATATTTCCACCGCATTTTTAATTCGTTCCACTCTATTTGTGCGATGGCGAATGGTGGTTGTCGAGTGAAAAAACCTTGTATTCCTGTCCCCTTCCTTTATCCATTGGACCCGGCTCCTCTGGCGCCAATATAGATCGTTATCCTCGTACGCTCGCTCTAGCTCTACCCTATGTGTGTTAATCTCCTCCCGAATAGTTTCCGTTTGCTCGACCGATTTCAAAAGGTTTATTTTTTTATGAAGATCATCGATCACTTTTTGAGGTTGGCGAAGAAATGTGCGGCTCCATTTAATTAATGCCAAACGACACTCCCGATTACGCATGATAAGCGTCTCTATCGGGTCGGATGTGGCCTCCGTACGCCATCCATGTTCAACAATATGTTCGCATTCTTCCCTTCGGAGCCACGTAGCGTCAAATCTAAAGGGTCTTCTCCTCCAAGTTTGTCGCGGATTACTCGGGATATTAAACTCCAATTTAATTGGAACATGGTCAGACCCCACATAGGACAGGTGTCTGAATCGTGCATTCGGAAAACGACTAATCCACATGTCATTTGCACATAATCGGTCCAGTCTGCGTTTGACTGTATGGGGTGACTCCCTATTATTGGACCACGTAAACGGCTGGCGTGTATAGCCCAAATTCGATAGACCACTACTTACGAGTGCCTCCTTAAACCTTTCAATTTTAGCTGGCTGGCGAATTAGGCCCCCAATCTTTTCTTCATTACTTGTGATCTCGTTGAAATCTCCTCCGACCACCCACGGTTATTCACTGTGACTTCTAAGCGAGCGTAAAAGGTTCCAAGACAAAGGCCGCTGACTCGAATCCGCAAAACCATTAAAGCCTGTTATTCTGCATTTGGGCTTATGGGTTGACTCGGAGAACTCCACATCTTTATGATTCGTGGAATAACTAATAAGATTGACTTGGACCTCCTTCTGCCAAAAGAGTGCCAATCCACCAGAATAACCTAGTCGGTCTACACATACTCCATTAAGATTCCATTTATTTTTTACTCTGTCTATCTGAACCGATGTCGCCCTCGTTTCCGAGAGAAACACCAATTGGGGCCTATGATCTCGGAGAATATCTCCGAGTACATAAAGCAAGAAAAGATGGGTTATGATAACGAGAGAGATGAACGGAAAGAAATAAAAACGAAAGGAAAAAAAAAAGTATAAGAAAGTAGTGGCGGCGCAAAAGAGGCCGACAAACCCTAAGAAAGCCCTACCACAAAACAAACCCTAGAAAAAAACACCACACACACAGCACGTAAAAACAGAGACTAAGGAATATGATCATAAAGTCCGACTATTAAGAGAAGCAAGCAAACATCCGAAGGAAACCCTGATATTGAAATTGAGAAACAATCTGCTAAAAAGGTACAGCCTCTCGTGAAGAGAGAAGACCGCCTCTCATGAGTAGAGAAAAACAACAATAGAAAAATGATTGAAAGTTGTTTTTATGCACTAACCCATAAATGCAAGAACCCATAAATGCTCTGACACAAATTTATAATACTCTAAAATATGTCATTTATCTTTTTTTTTTTTTTAAACTAGTAGGTCAATTGTTTAATAATTTTTTCTGCTTAAAATTTCGTAGTCCTATATATATATATATATATATATATATATATATATATATATGGTAAATTACAACTATCTCACTGAGATAACATGTAATTACGAAAAAACCGCTTATTTTAAGAAATTACATCATGCCTCCTTCAGTTTTGTAAATTTCTTAGAACTTTAAATGCATGAAACTGACTACTTTATGTGTTGTTATGTTATTGTTAATCGCATGAATCGAAAGATTGGGTTAATGATTAGAACTTGGGTAGAAGAGTCTTTGTAGTATTAATATAGGAATATAGTTAATCTCTTAGATAGCCATTATTGACATTTTTGCTTCATGTTGTGTTCTAGATTTAATTGCGTAGGAATACAGTAATTCAATCAAGAGTATTAGAATCGTAATACACGAGGAAGAGGGTTATGATTAATTTAGCATCTTAGGTTAGTAATCCGATTTAATAACTTGCATAATTGAAGGAGTTGGGGAATTAATAATCACATGGCGAGAGAATAAAATCCTAGGCATGTTTTCTTTGATTAATCTTTGTGTTTAATTGCTTTCTTGCTCATTTCCTTTTAACTTTCCTTAATTTAGTTTAGTTAATTTAAAATAATTAATCAATTTTCGACTGTGTAGGGTGGACTTGAAAATAATTGGTAGAATTTAGCCACTAGGATTAGGTAATTAAATATTCTCTGTGGGATCGATATTCGGACTTAATTGTTCACTATATTACTTTTTCGATACGTGCACTTGCGTGTAAGTATTACCACCAACATATCTCCACAAAAGATCAGTCAGCCTTCCTCTCGATTCTCTTCGCACAAACGCACAAATACAAAGTCTCTTTAGCCAACATAAACGTAAACAAGTGTATGCAGCGGAAAACAATATACAAGCACGTTTACGAGCAATGCCCAACCTTTATATTAATTTTCCAACAATGTGTGACTAAGGTACGCACACAAAATCCTCACTCAAATGCCCACAATAGCAATATGAACTATCTAATGCTAGGTGGGTTTGATTGTGCACTCGTATTCTTATAAAGTATAAACACAAGGAAGATGGAAATTTACACCCCAAACTACTTAAGGACACTTGGTGGCACGCAGGCCTTACATGTGGCTAAGTTCTACAAGTTACAAGGGTCGGTTTTGCATGCTTTTCAGCCCTCAACTGCTGCGCAACTTCCCTGCAACTGTCGAAATTGTTGGTTGTCGTGCGCTAGCCTTGCTTGAGCGCGTGCGCATGCCAAACGGCTGAAACAGCCCGTCCGGTTGCTAGGCAGTCTATCTGCCTTGCCTTGTACGCACACGTTGTTTGCCTTGTTAATCACTTGCCATTTTTTGTCCACACGGCCGTTAGCACACATGCTGATCGGGTTGCCTTCCTTTACATGCCAACCATTCGTGCCAACCTGCCCTCACTTGTCAAGTAATGGTCGATTTGCTTCGAACGCTCGTTTGCCCAAGTTCTCGGCCACATGCTGATTAATGCCCACGCTTGTCCCCATTGGTTGCCGAGCAATGTTCGTGCCAGCCACAAGTCTTGCCGAGTATTACTCATGCCGTTTGCCGAGACATGCCCGTGCGAAAAGCCGAGTATTGCCGATACTCGCTTGTGCCATCAACCAAGCACTTTCGATCACCGTTCTCACTCCTTGCCCAAAGTTCGATTACTCATTGGCCGATTGTGTAGCTGTCTTGTGCCAACCCTCGCTTGGCACCGTTTGCCATAACACGGCCACACTCGAGTCATAGCAGATGTCAACGACTAAGGGGGTAACACTGTGTATGGACAAACATTGATGGGTATTTGTCTTTGTTAGTCTTATCTTATGCTATGTCGTATTTTTTTATTATTCATAAAAAAATGGGGTTTTTAGGTTTTTATGTATAGGTTTCTGAACAGTCATCTTTATTATTTTAGGGGCAGGGGTTGTATCTCTTTCGTCAATAACCTCATTCATTTATTATGTATTATAAATAAAGGCAAAATTAATGTATATGACCAAAATTACCCCCAAACCTTTAAACTCAATTCCTAATTATAATCCCAATTTAACTTCAATTTCATCAATGTTGACCACAAAAATTCAATTTTGAATTTTTCTCTTTTTAAATTCTTTTTAAATTTGCTTTCCCCAGTTTCTGGTGTTTATTTTTATTTTTTATTTTGTTTGCTTTTTCCGCTGTCGATCTCTTGCGTTAACTTTTTTTTAACTAAAATTTTGACTTTTATTTTGTTTAATTTCCTGTCAACCACATTAATGTTATTATTTCTTTGGCTTTTTTTATTTTGTTTGAGTTGATAACGAGTCAATGTAATAATACTACTATTGTTGATGGTAAAATTACTGTAAACACTATAATATTACTGTCAACCACATAAATATTATTATTGTTTGCCTTTTTATTTTTTTTGATTTGTTGACCGATTAACGTAATAATATTATTGTCCACTAATGTAATATTACTGTAAAGACAATAATACTATTGTAAATACAATAATATTACTGTCGTTGACGGTAATATTACTGTCGTTACAATAATATTACTGTAAACCACATCAATATTTTTTTTTGCCTTTTATTATGTTTGTCTTTGTTGAATGGTCGACATATTAACATCACTCAATTACACAACAACATAGATTTTTGTTGAGTTAATATTACTGTACTAGAGAGCAATATAACAATATTACTGTGTTAAACTGTAATATATTTAATATATTATGTTAAATAGTAACATAATTAATATAACTGTCAACCATGGCAATATTACTGTTTAAATGAGACAAAAAAATGTTGAAGAAGAAAATCAAAGAAAAAAAAACAACGCCACCGGAGACCGCTGATCAGCGGCGACAGAAAGAAGATTGTTTAAATAGATTGTTATTAATTCAAAAAGAAGACTGTCAACCACGATGGGCTTATTTAATTTGTATTAAGCCCTAAAAAATTTGTTTAAATAAATTTGTCAAAATCTCGCGACTTCCAAATGATTGGTGATTAGCGTATATATTATATATTACGTATATATTATTATTATTTATTATAGTTACCTTCTAAAATAGGGTACCCTCGTGTAATAGGTTAGGGTTTCTTACATGTAACTAT